AATGGTTTCCAAGATCGCCGGGTCTGTTAGCCTGGGTTTCTTTCTCTGGGGCTATCTAAAGCGAACCGTTTACTCCCGAAAACCGAGAACGATTGAGGAGCTAAAATAGAGTATCACCGCGCAGTGCGAAAGTATTCCAACTGCTACCATTCTGAAGGTGCAAGAAAACTATATTCACCGCATTTTGCTATGCAAGCAGCAGAACTGAAAAAATATTGAACTTTTATAAAAATAAATATGCATCTTTCCATATTTGTTCGTTCTTTTCTTCGGAATTTTACCTCCGACGCAGTTAACGAGATCGTTCAACGCGAAAACAGTTAGTTGGGAAAATGCCAGAAGAGTTTTGCGTGGGCCTCCCTCAGTGGATATTGTAGTCTGTACTAAAGACAAGTTCAAAGATTGTATGATTATCCGTTGACCGAATCCACTCCGAAAAATTGCGTGTATCTTAGACGAGTCAAGCGTTGGCCCGGTATCATCCTCGCTGGAATATTTTCCAGTTCGAATTTCCTACATGGCGCATCGCACCACAACTAATTGTCCTGTGGTGATTCTCTGCTAACACTTAAGCAGCATCGGATTCAGAACTTATCCCCCTTCTATACCGGCCCTAAAATCACACGACTGATCAGGTTCATTTGTCGATCGACCAGGTGGTTCATCAACAATGAGGGACCTGGTGCTTGCCCAGCTAACCCGAGAGAGGAATCTCACCTTGTTCACATTCGCGAGGCTTAGGATGGCCCAGTTAACGTCGAATGTACAGCAGGAGTGCCATCACCACACAGATAGACTAGATGTGACAACGAGAGCATTGCAAGCACAGCCCGGTAATCAAACAGTCTCGTTTTGGTGAGGAATTAAAGCGCCGCCAATTGCGGAGAAATGTCCAATCAGATCGCAGAGGGTCAAAGAGAATTTATTTGTTTAAGGCCACGGGTGAGAGGGACAAGACAATGTGAAACCGTGGAGCAGTCGAACAATAATCTTTACCGACGCTTGGAAGCTGGGCAGAGCACTTCACATGCTGAATGCCCCTCCTGAGAGTGCACCCTGGTCACTACCCACAGGACCGCCCACAGAGGCGGAGATCCGAAAGGAACTCCAAGCCCTGAAACGCCACAAGGTAGCTGAACCAGACGGCCTGCCACCTGCTCTCTTTAAAGATGGTGGAGATGCTCTCGTAAGCGAACTTGTGAGACTGTTCTCGAATACCTGGGAAACTGAAAGTGTACTCCACATATGGGGAGAATCGATTGTCACATCAATCTACGAGAAAGGCTGTCGCAACGCGTTCCAATCACAGGGACATATTTCTAATTCTGACAGCGCCAAACTACTGATGTCCGTTTCATTATGCAGACTAAGCCCATTTCGTGAAAGGCAATTCGGCGAGGAGTTGGCCGGGTTTCGTGCACACCGTGCTTGAATAAATCAAATATTCACTCTCCGTTAGCTACTGCCACAGATACAGACGATAAACCATCGCCGTGTTCTTGGACATTAGATATACCTTCGACTCCATCGACCGTCCTGCAACGTAGAATTGTTTGCGGAGATACGGAGTAAACGAAAAGTCTGTTGCATTTCTAAAAGTGCTCATTCGCCAGATCTTAGAGAAGGTTGAGGCCTCTGGTGAAGTTTCAATTGTATTTCCTGTCACCAGTTGGGTACAATAGGATTGCCCTATCTCTTACTTTCTCTTTAACTTTGCCATAGACGATGCTCTACAAAAAGGGTGTTGCATAACGTAACAAACGTTGGCAACCAAATGAGTATTAAAAAGGCGTCAAAGCAAAACTGGTGCACGAAGTTGCTCAAAAAACTCTATCTTGCGTTTGCATCACCAATTTAAGACGAATAAAGCCCCTATTTCAGGACTTCGGTATTGTCAAACCCAAGATTCATAAGAGGTAACGGCTAATATGTTTTGGTAGTCACCTGTGGCTTCATTTTGGATGTACATGAAATTAGAAACTGCAGTACCGCCGCACTAGTAAACTGGGCTGGAAATTCTTTTGTTGACTGTTCTATGTATCACTATTTGCTAGGGCATAGCATTCAAAATATGCCTACATAAAAAATCAACCGAACATTCCGAGGTGAAGTGTCTTCAAACCACCTACAAAACGATCGTGCAGCATACCTAGTTGAGCTTAACAAACCTTATTTGAATGTCTGTGGGTGTCGAATGTCTCCGTGCGCGCCGAAGCGCACGTGCAATGCATCAAGATTACGGTTAATGGGGCCACTCAAGATCAGTCAGAACTCGTGTTCAGGCTGTAGAATGGGGTGGCACCCCCAAATCAACAGCAGACCGTGGGTTTTTTCTGCTGCATACTTTGTTAAGAGGAACAGCTGAGTGGACATCCGAAATCGTCAACTTCAGTTTGGTCATGAAAACTTGTAACCTCAATCCTCAGTGCTCGGGTAGCAAACCACATGAAGCCCTACTTGGCTGAAAGCTTGTATATAACTCGCTAAAGCTTGAATACAATACAATACCATGCAACAGAAGCGTAACATCTAATCGGGAGCTATATGCTGATCAAACAGGGCGGTTAACAGAGACCACTGTTCCGGAATGATCACCTGATTGTTTTCGAAGTGACGACTACGCCAAACGTTCAATTGTATTGCGTTTGAGGGCGCACGTTTCGTAAGTCCCGTATTCCCACGATTCATGAGGCCATTCCCATGCCGATTAATCGAACTAAAATTAACCCAAACGGATTACAACCGTGTACGAACGTTGTATGCAGTACCACAAGCCCCAGTTCACATTTTCCTCTATGATTCTATTCTATTTTCTGACCACCAGGAGCCGGTCGTGCAGTTTACTTGGTCAGCTGAAATCCTTGGAAAAGCTGAAATTGACCTTTATATATACATGTGAGTGCGTATGTATGTTTGATGTTCAGTTGTTCGCCGAGCTTGGCAACCGTATTGCAAACATTTCATCACCAATCGAGGTGACATTCTCAATGAATTTACCGCATTGNCCTCGATTGGTGATGAAATGTTTGCAATACAATTGCCAAGCTCCGCGACCAACTGATCAAGTTATAATACCCGAGCTAAAAAAACACCGTCGTTTAAAAAACTACGTATATATATATATATATATATATATATATATATCAGAGGATACAAAGCCAGCCGTTGACAGCATCTAAACCACTGCACAACTATTTGTAAATAATATGCGCAATATGGCGTCCTCCACATTGGTACCTCTATAATGACGGAACGAATTACATTGCCCGCTGATCGCAGAGTTAAATGTGCTGCACCAGTGTAATCGACTCGAATGTATGACCCATGTGAAGTCCAATAGGTGGTCCCTACACCATCGAATATAGGATCTGGGTGATCCAATTCACGCACTGATGCACTGACCGAGCTGTCGCGGGCGGCGCAATCACTGTAATCAATTCAACTCGCCACCTGTAATCATGTGTTACGTGAATCGCCGGATGGGATTACTCGGCGGTTAGTAAGGCTGTTTGGTGTTGTGACACTGACGACGTTCAGACCTGACCGGCATCAAGCAAGTTTGTACAATCATGCACCTTCGTGCGCCGGTTTCGGCTACCCATTTGGATGAAGCAGAAGTCGAGAGACAGTAAGGTTAAAAGTAGAGTCGAAGAGAGAATCGAAAACTCCAGTAAACCATATCTGCAAAGTTGATAAGATGCACGAACGCCAATGGTTATGACACTCAGCCATATCAATGTCTCTAACCGTCGTTTACATTCATCCCGAGGTCTCCAACCAAGTAGCCTAACGGGACCTACGTGATCCAGTCTTTTAATTAAGGTTTTCATACCCTAGCTTGACCACCCTCGGCTCTTTTTCAACCACTAACTTTTTGGTGACATGCGTAACACATTCCACAACTAAAGTAATCTATGGAGGTCGACTATGTGCCCATGGGCGACCCCACTTACCCAAACCTCCACATTGTTCGCTTGGCTGCCCCATCAGATTCATGCAATGCTGCGTAGACAGCGGCGTTCAAACACGGTCTATCTTTATCCTGTTTTCTTAACGGCCAGGTTTCTGCGCTGTATAGCAGAACTGGCTGAACTGCCGCAGCATTTACTCAATCTTTCACAGATAGCCGGATGTCGCGACGGCGTCACAAATGTCTCAAGCTGGCAAATGTCAACCGATCCTTCGGTATGCGAGCTGACACTTCATCCGTGAAGTGTTTAACAGGTGAGATGTAACTGCCCAAGTAACAAGACGTTTTCACCTGCTCTATTGCTTACCCAGTTAGTGAGGTTGGGTGCTGGACCAACCCAGACTCGTAGTAACATTTTACACCTTGAAAGTGCAGAACGCATACCAACATGACTACACTGGCAATCAAGCTGTCCAAAAAAGTTTGCAGCTTACCCGGATCTTCACTCAGTAGCACAATGTCTGTATACTCTAAATCAAAAAGCCTGCCACCTGCAAATAAATCGATGCCACTACCCTCGCATGAAAACAGGGCTGTTTCCATATTGAAATCTACAATAAAGTTAAATAACGAGGGTTGCCCTGGAAAACACCACTTTCTGTGGTGAACTCGAGCAAAAAATTGCCGTAAACTCGGACTCGGCTCTTAGTATAAAGTGATTTTATCATACAGAAACTTTTTGGACACACCCTTCATGAAAGGCAGCAGCGGCGGTCGACTGAATCGAAAGCCACTTTAGGATCGTGGGTCTGCGAAGAGAATGTCGGCGCTCTAGAATTGGGGGAGGAGTGAAGATGAGGTCTATACAACCTCGACTAGGTCTAAAACCAGCCGGGTTCTCACGCGCGGCAGACAATCGCCGGAGTATAATGCCGGTGAGAAGTTTAGAGGCAATGCTGTTTAAACTAACTCTTCTGTTTTTCACAAGAGGATCTGTTACGTTTCTTGCAAATCGGTGAGATGACCGATTCATACCATTCCGTCGGAACCTGTACCCTTTCCCATATCGAGCCCAGAAGTTTCGTCAACTCCAAGACTAATACTGAGCCTCCATCCTTAAAAGCCGATGGGGACAGCTCATCTAGGTCGGAGACCTTGCATTTTGAGGTAGCGTAGTTCCCGGGAAACCTCTACTTCATATGGAGGACTGCATTGAGCAAGTGCAGTCGAGGATGCATTGGGCTTCCTGTGGGTATTAATTGGATTGTCGTAAATAACCCCGTTTAACACTCCTCTTGCAACTGCATACAACTTTCTGTATGCTTACAATTTTTTGTTTTATAGCCCAGATTGACGACGACCAAAATACGAAATCCGAAGCATGGAAACCACATAACAATGAGGTTTCCATGTTTGAACAGTTGAAGAACAAAGATGGCACTCCAAACACATCTGAAAGCCACCCGATTTCCTACCACGGGACGGTGGTTGTAATCGGCTTGGAACATGGTCTCGCGCCGCGTTTGAGTGACCTTATTAACGACTGAAATTTGTTGCCAACGCTTCCCCATGCATGATCTCAGTGGCATTTGAAACCACAGTCCAACCAAGTCAAATTACCTCGGACTGAACGGAGAACCTGATTTCTATTCACTTACCGCAGGCTGGAGAACATATTTTCACTGTATACACAAGTATAACGAGCGAAGGAATAGCCCGTTTCCCCGCGGGAACTGATGAACCGGAGGGTACCAGATAGGCCACAAAAATACCAGATATTGAACAGTGCCACGGCAAAGTTGGGTGACGTGTTCAGTTTATCTCAAGTTCATACACTCATTAACCCCGCACTGCCGTGCGTCGGTTTTGGATGACGGTGGCACGGTTTGAATCCAATAGTTACATTCCCGACGTACTAGTTTCGACCGGTCTAGTCTGACTTTGAAACTACTGAGTCAACTACAGAACGTGTACAACATAGGATGTGCTTGCTGATGCTACCTCCGCTTTCAAACGCTCCGCAAACCTTCATTCTAGCCCACTATTGTGGATTAGCCACTCAACCTAATTAGATCACAGTAGACGCTGTCTACTGTTGGTGAGATCTGAACATAAAATGGTGCAATGTAAGACCCTACCGTGGTAAGACCATGCAGCAATCTGCACAACAAGCAACTGTAGTAGTGGTGCAACGGTTCAAACTTCAGACGAAAGGAAGGAACGAGAAAAATAGATGCATGGATAGTTTCTCAGAAATTCCCGCTGTGGAACAGCATTTCCACCGGCCTCACACCACATCTGATCCGATATGCAACTTATTTTTAGTGGCGTACTATCGTTCCTGACTAATGCGACATCCCAGGATTGATCAGCTACATGTCAGTGGGCGATGTCTATCAAACATATTTGCAAGTTCAGAAATGAGCATATATGTAAGCGATACGCAGCTCAGATTAGTAGGTCTGCGTCTNGGCATCCTCGAACGTCGAACCAACATGCGGTGATTGCTTCAATGTGGTTATTCTGGCATAGGAAAGAACAGTATTGAAACGTTTGCAATACAATTACCAAACAAGAAGTCAAACATTTTATGGGTTGATTATACTTTGTATGTTTCGCACCACTGTCATGAAACACGGGACACAAGAACCGCTTGTTTCAGAATCAGTCTCCTGGCACCCAATGGATAAATTCGTGAATCAATGCGGTCAGTTACTGCTTTCGCCACACGTCCAATGAAACGACCTTTGCTATGACAACGATCGTGAATAGAACTGAACATCGCAACTCAAGTATTTCCACTCGGAATTGATAGGCCTGTTCATCATTCCCAGCCGTATTCGAAGCAATGGTCCTTCGAGTTCCGTGACGTACACACCGTCACCATAGCTCGTTTCTCGCTCTCACTTAATTCAGTTCAACTAACAGCCAGTTCCCAAATAGCGAGGTAGTCACACTGAACTGAATG